TCCGTTGTATACTCCGGAATTTCTTAGGTGGACGAAATAAAGGGTTCGGTTCAAAATTCCAACCTTCGACCGGAGCGTAAAACTGCCGAAACGTTGTGAATATGGTAATGAAGATGAGGATAACAGTCCGTGTAAGGTAAATAATGTCAGTGATGTTGAAACTGTTCAGCAAACTTGAAATATTTCGGAATAATACCATAATAAGGCTATAATAGAAGGATGTGGCTTCTCACCTGCCTTATTCAATCAATGCAGTGAGGCGATTCTGAAAGAATTAGAAGTCCGACCAGGATTCATTATTGCCGGAAATAATCTTAACAACGTAAGATATTCAGATGAAATAGTGATGAGAGCAGAGACAGAAACAACAACTGCAAAAACGACTACAGAAGGTAAAGAAGGAAAGCGGGAAGAAATATAAGTTGCATGGTTTTAGAAAAAGGATGAGTACAAATATAACGTTTAAGCACACACACACATACACATACATATTTATAGGGTGTATCAAAAATGCTTTTACAAACTTTAAGTACGTGTTCCTCAGACCAAAGCAAGAACAATAGTCCATATAAACATATCCGCAATTACTTCCTTTTTTGTGTGATTAAGTTTAAAGAAAGTTTACAGTATAGATGGTGCTGTGTTGCTATAAAGACTAGATTACATTTGTCATTCGTGTACATTTATGGCTAGTTTGTTTTCAACATTTAACGTGTAGTCAGATTTTCTTAGATGAAATATTGTCAATTATTGTTAACTAGTATTTCTTCCTTCATATTTCTCTTGTTTTTACATCTGGAAGTAGAATGACCTGTATCTGTGCTTGATAGATTACGCTAAGGTGTTCGGTAACTTCTGTCACAAAGATATGTTAAAACTGTCAGTCTATATCTCTGAGAGATAAACTGCATCTGACAGCAAGGGACTCTAATCGAGAGATTGGTGATTTTGAGGAGCATGAAATTACCTTTTAATTGCTGTTTTTCTCAGGCTCAGCTATTAGGGTCCCAGTTACTGAAAAATAGTCTTCTTTTTTGTTTTTCGTTATTGGTTGACTAAGAAAGTACAAAAATACTTTATAGTAAAAATACTAGCAATATATTTATGAGAAAAATGACCATTTATACATTTTTATAGCAAGATGATAATCAATGCATTTTTATAGTAAAATTACCAGTAATACATTTTATCATCTATAAACTATATATCTAAAACAATATACGTTTGCCATGAAAGAATATCTGTAGTTGAAGTTATGAAATTGTCTGTCTATATCTCTGAGATGAGGTATTATGTTTACTTGCATTATTTACATTTCTCGGACATATGAATACAAATTGCCCATGATTTTACTCGAGCGGTCATATCTACACGCAGCCTATCTTAACGTAAACAAATGACATCATATATTATGAAATGGACTAAGTCCGACAATTATTTTAATATATTTTATTTTTATACGTTATTTATATAGACACAAATATTTAAGTAAATATATAAGTCCGACAGTTTTTCACAGCAAGTTCGAACTCCTCTATACGGATGTTTGCATTCATATATATATATATATATATATATATATATATATATATATATATATTATGAATTATTTTTATAGATACAAATATTTAAGTAAATAATAATAATAAACATTATTAACAACATTTACCGGCCTGAATGTGCGAGAAACTTCATAGAAAATATGCGTCCTCCGACAGGAATCGAACCTGTATCCTACACGGAACCGTCGTATAGCCTGATGTGCTATAACATTTTAGCTACGAAGGAAGCGTCTGGTTATGAGGCCGAATTACTGCTTTTGAACTACAATTTCCCATGATTTCTCTCGAACGTTCATATCTGCACGAAGCTTATCTTAACGTAAACAAATGACAATTTATATTATGAAATGGACTAAGTTCGATAATTATTTAAATATATTTTGTGTTTATACGTTATTTTTTATACATTCGAATACGCTTCTAGCAGATATGATCCGTCGAAAAAAATTATGGGAAATTGCTGTTTAAAAACAGTAATTTGATTTTGGTAATCATTGGTTTCCTCTGTAGATGAATAGTATAGTAGGCTATAGGGCGATTCTGTGTAGGATAATGGTTCGATTTCTGTCGGAGAACACAAATTTCTCGGACATTCAGGCCGGTAAATATAGTTAATAGTGTTTATTATAAACCGAGCATTTACTTAAATATTTGTATCTATAAGTCATAACGTATAAACAGAAAATATACTAAAACAATAGTTGGACTTAATCCATTTCATATATATATATATATATATATATATATATATATATATATATATATATATATATATATATGACGCTTACAGATACTTCCTATATCTCTATGGATGCTTATATATCCACATGTCTGTCTGTTTCGCTCTATATACGTATATATAAAAAGAGAGGAAAACTATTCTTAAGGACTTTGTCAAGACTTGCCTTGATAAAGTCCCTCTGAAAAACGGAACGAGTCGGTAAATAATGGTTTTTCCTATTGTCTTTTTATTCATTTTCATGTCCTCTTATTCATTTTGTACCTTTTACAGATACAATATATCTGAAAATAAATTACACACACAAATATGTATATATATATATATATATATATATATATATATATATATATATATGTATGTCTCTTTCTCTATGTATACGTACACACATATGTGATTCTGTTTTTGTCTATACGTATATGTATGGAGGTGTACATATGTATATCTATAAAAATAACTGGGTAAAAATCAATTTTAAATTTAATAAGTAAGTGAAGCTATATCGTCATGTCTGGCCAGGTAGAGAAAGCCGATATACTCTTCGTAATTTTAGCCCTACTTTCGTATCAATTTTCTTATTAAAAAACCTACACACCCACACATTGGTGTCATAGATATACTACTCGACGACTCGTTTATTTATCTGATTTCGTTCCTATCTATCTATCTATCTATCTATCTATCTATCTATCTATCTCAATCTGTTCTTATCTATGTATTGGATCAAGTCAGTAGTCTGATACGGCGTTATTTGCTGAAATTTGAACTGAAACTTTCCCTGTATAATATTCGATCTCTGTAATTAATATCCACTAGTTAATTAACTATCTTGATAATTTGTAAATCCTCGTCGTGCGAAATAAATTTACTTCATGCCATCGAGCTTACTCATATGCATAACTATCAACCATATATATATATATATATATATATATATATATATATATATATATATATATATATATTGCGTATTTCGGTAGCAATCCTTCTTTCATGCAAGCTTCATCAAGTATGACAGACAAGGTGCTTTGATTAATATTTTTATATAATTTATAATTTCTTATATGATCTTATATTTTTTTCTTTCAGTTGATAAATTATACTTAAACTGTCCAAATGTTTTATTTTCCGATATGCATACACCTTATATTATATATATATATATATATATATATATATATATATATATATATATATATATATATATATATATATATATAATGTTAAAAAATTACGATCGGTCGGGGAAACAAACTGTTATAATTTAAAATATTTTTTTAATATGTTCTCTATAAATGTGTTAATAAATATAGTATTTAACTTATATTAAATCCCTAAACTATTTGTTTAAAAAAAATTAAATATTTAAATTGATAGCAAGCATCAAATTAATTTATTCGGTTTTTTTAGACATCTAAATTTCTATCCAGCATTAAAAACTATTCTTTACATAAATTGCTAAAACCCAATTACAGCCTCTTTCTCTTTACTTCCCTCTCCCTCTTTCTTTTTTCTTTTTTCATTTTTCTTTTCTCCCTTCTCCCCTCCCATTTAAATATATCACTTCCGTTAAGTTAACCGTTTAAATAGGTCAAGGTCTGGTCACTCCTCCTCCCCCAATACAAAGTATGCTTGAGAGAGATATGAAATTAATCACTCCCTACACTCTACCATGTCTCTTTAACTTCTCCTTTTACACTTTTTGTTAAATTACAAAACTTACACTATCTCATCAATTTTAATTTCATTTTCGTTTCATTTAATTTTTGGGAGTGCTATCTGGTGATCCGGCGTCCTTTAAAAGGGCTCTGGTGAAATAAATTATTATAATGGTACCTTAAAGTGGTCTGTTTTCCTTTTAATATATATATATATATATATATATATATATATATATATATATATATATACACACACACACACACACACACACATACACACACACACATACATATATATATATATATATATATATATATATATATATATATATATGCATACTAGCTGGAATAGGGTAGCATTTAAGCCAGTTCCTGCGGAGGGCTCTTCATTGGGCTTTCATTACTACAGGTAGGATGGAGTAGACGCGATATGCAACAATAAACTACAGAAGAAGTCAAAATTGATCCCTACATTTAAGTATTGCAATAATATTTAAGGTTACCTTTTAAAAGTTCAACGATAATTCTTCTGTCGCCACTTAATTTAAAGACAATTTGATGTACGTAGGTCCTTACAATCCCGACAAACAATTATTTTTATTTCATGGGTGACTTTCGCAATTAATTTCGATTATTCCTAAATTTATTTCCAAGTTATAAAAATTGTTATCGTACAAAATATTTGTCGCAAAAAATTACGTAAAAATATCGCCGGAAACAAACGCAGTAATTAACATTTCAGGATTGCGGGGCCGGATCCGACCCCGAATGTTTCTGTTATAGTGGAACACACCTATTCTATAGTTAATAGATTCTCCCACCTATAATAAGTAGTAGTAGTAGTAGTAATAGTCGCTAGGTCGCTCAGTGGGTGGGTCGGTCAGTCGATGTCGGACGATCGCTAGTCGGATACTAAAGTATCAGCGAACACCACTAGATTTCTCTGCGTCATTACCTATTATATCAAGTTCCTAACGTTTTGTACGTCGAACCTATTTTAGGACCGACTTAGTACAAATAGAAGCCTCCACTGTGAAATTAGTCCATAACAGAGATATGGAGGGAGAGAAAGAGAGAGAAATAGATAGGGAGGGAGAGAGAGAGAGAGAAAGAGATATGGAGGAGAGAGAGAGAGAGAGAAAAAGATATGGAGGGAGAGAGAGAGAAAGAGATATGGAGGGAGAGAGAGAAAGAGATATGGAGAGAGAGAGAGAAAGAGATTGTTATAGTGGAACATACCTATTCTATAGTTAATAGACTCTCCCACCTATAATAAGTAGGAGTAGTAGGAGTCGCTCAGTGAGTTGGTCAGTCAGTCGATGTCGGATGACCGTTAGTCGGATATTAAAGTATCAGCGACTACCACTAGATTTTTCTGCGTCATTACCTATTATATCAAGTTCCGAACGTTTTGTACGTCGAACCTATTTTAGGACCGACTTAGTGAAATACAAATACAAGCCTCCACTGTGAAACTACTCTACAACAGTTTTTAATTTTCCCATGGAGTCGGCTTTATTCTTAAATGTTGGGCTACGGCTACTAGGAGTAGTTGTAATCGTGTGACACACTGACATTCGCTTTTATTACACAGTGTGGGGAAACAAATATTCGTACACATTCACATTTTTAATTTATTGTACTTCCAACTAATGAATAAACATACTTTTCATATAATTAACCGTACACAGATTCATAATTAACTGTACACAGATGCATAATTAACTGCACACAGATGCATAATTAACTGTACACAGATGCATAATTAACTCTACACAGATGCATAATAACTAAATATGCATAGAAAGCAGAAAAATGATTTTATAGAAATAAATCCTATTTAGCCATTTTAACATCCGGTCCGTGAAGGATTTTTGTCAGTCCCGCCAATTTAACACTTGGAAGTAAATTATCTCATTTATTTGGGGAGCAATTGGCAGAAAAAAATATCAGTTGGAGTTAATCGACTTACGATGCGACGAATTTTTGCCTACCCCTGGTGTAGATAGATTGTTTTTTGACCCAGTGTATTTGCGGTCCCCTCATTGTGAGTTTGGACTTCTATTCTGAATGATGGTTGCCAGTGTTGGGTTTTAATTTGCTGTTGGAATGTTAGCATGGCTTATGAGACTGTACCTTTCGAAACATTAAACAATTCAGCAGTTTCAAAGACTGAAGCTCCAGTTATCTGCGCCTCAACTGTTTGTCCGCTTTACAAGTAAGATAAGTCGAACATTTAAACTTATTTAAATATAAGTATCTACAAGAAAATCAAAACAGAAACTTATATCATAACGTAAACGGTGCACATATATAAAGACTAGAACAGTTCTGAATTTGTCATAGTGCAAATTGAGAAACAATAAAATAAAAAGTAAGGTTTCTATAAGTTAGTCAAACACACACATATATATATATATATAACTTCTGGCAAATTTATGAAATCATTCCAATTAGATTTTCATCAACCGTTTTTTTTTCTCATTTTTACTTCGCAGTAAATCACATATAAAACCCAAAACGATTTTGTTTAATAACTGAACATTTTGGCTTCATGAATCATCTCAAACATTTTGGCTTCATGAAACATCTCAAACAAATTAGATTAAATTGTTTAAGCTGATGGAATTCCTTTTCGGATCAAGTAGAAGAAAAAAAAATAGAATCATTGAATGTTGATAAAAATGTTGTGGAGACACTTTTCAATTTGAATTTATTAAATAAATACGAGGACAAATCTAAATATGCAAATTAGGCTGCAGTTAAAGGAGAATGTGTGCAAACCGCAAACAACCATTGATCTTTCTTAATTTAAAGGAGAATTAAAAGGAAACACGGTTCCAACAAGAGAACTGTCAATTAAAAGGAAACACGGCTCCAACAAAGAAAACTGTCAATTAAAAGGAAACACGGCTCCAACAAGAGAACTGTCATTTAAAAGGAAACATGGTTCCAACAAGAGAACTGTTAATTAAAAGGAAATACGGCTCCAGAAAGAGAACTTTTAATTAAAAGTAAGCATTCACCGAATATTTCTTTCATCTCATGAAGAGATATGTAGCAAAAAAGCAAATAGCAAAAATAGCAAAATATCACCCGGGCTAAAAACATGAAATTGACATCGTACAAGAAACACAGTACAAATACATAGATTTATTTATAATATTTACAGGTGGATTATTGTCTTCATCTTTGTTGTTATTATCACAATGTTTCACCCGTTGCGCCCTCCGGTCATCATCAGGTGCTTGTAACTTAAAGGATTTTCGAAGTAAACCCTTTATTTAAACTATATAACTTAAACATGAAAACAATAAACAAAAACTAAAAATTCTTGAAGCTATATACATAAAACAGTTGAAAACTAACTGGAACAAAATAAACTAAGAAATCTCCACAAATATCCTTAAATGCATATAATTGGTAACAGAAGCCATTCGTTTATACCAACAGCTTCCCATACTTAATACTTCTCGAATTCACTCTCGCGTGGTCATGTGTGACGTTATGAGCAGCGGTGCTATTTTCGCTTCCAGCGTCTTATATGCACGAGTTTGTCGTTGCTTGGAAATCTTCTATGTAAATAGAAACACATATCATCACATTGTTGTCCGTGTATTGCTTAATATATTGTAATGTAATTGTCATCTTTGATAATGGCTTATGTAAGCCGAAAGCTTAGATTGAATTGAAAAATATGTATCAATATTGTGATTTTCTTTCTTCGTTTCATGATAATGTTTTTAAGCTTATCAGACGATATGAAAAGAATTTACATAAAATAAATAGACAACACTTTTCTATATTATTTAGAGACATGTATCAATGAAAAAATGCTGCCCAAATACACACATTTCAAATATATAAATATATATATATATATATATATATATATATATATATATATATATATATATATATATATAATTATAAAACAGTTATTGTTCAGAGTTGAATTTGTCCAGGAAACAGAAAGGTTGAAACCAAGGTAGCGTTATTGGTTGATCTCATATATATATATATATATATATATATATATATATATATATATATATATATATATATAATATAATTGTGTAAGAAATTCTCAGAATTGACCTGTAGAAAAAGACAATATATATAACGCGCTTCGTCTAATGTTGACTTTTTTTTTAGTTTTTTGCCTTGAAAAAGTCCACAATGGACGAAATGCGTTTTACACACTGTTTTACAATTGCCTTTTTTCCTTTATACATATAATAGTGTATTTGGGCAGCAATCATTCTTTTATATATGTTTCATTAAAAACAATAGACAAGCTATTGCGGATAACTTTTACTCAATATTTTTTGTGTTCTTATATTTTTTTCCTTTCTGACATCAATTATGTAGAAATTAACCGAATGTCCTGTATGTCCGAGCGCTTTCGGCTATAATTTTAGCCATTATCAAGGATGATTATTTTTTAAATTTTATCTGCATGTATGGACTTTTTATGTATCTATCTATAGCCATGGGGATGTTTTATTTTTTCTTTATATTTTTCTCCCGTGTCTATCCCGTTTCTCTCTATTAGCCCTGTACTTGCTGGCAGGGCAAACGGTTAAGTATCCCCCCACCAACCTCAACAGATTCTTTGCTTACATTACAACACTTTCATTATCTGTAGTCCCCTTGCGTCTTAGTGGCATTATCGCCTTGCTTGGGGGTGAAGTGATTAAAAAATATGTCCGTTATTTTTTCTTTTATTGCAGCCACTAATCTTAGTCCATGTCTAGTTATCTCGATTTGTTATTTACCTATCTCTGGGTGTCTATCTATCAAACAGTTTGCCACGAAATAAAAATTAAGGGCTAAATCAGATATTAAAGTTGGGTGGAGGGGGAGGTTAATCAGATATTAAGTTTAAATAGTCCTCAATCTATATATATTTCTTATCGGATCAGCTCATAAAAATGAACACATATATTAAATTATGTCATAGCAGTCCTCCTATATGACAGTCAATGCTGGACACTCTCCTCGGAGATGGAGAAGAGTCATCAAGGAACAAAAATATGGTTCTACAGAAGGTTGCTGATACCATTAACTGAACTTGCGAGGAACGAAACAATTTTGGGGAAAATGGAAACAAAGAGGGTACTTAAACTTATTTTTTTTATCGATATCGCTCTAAGCAAGGCAGGACAGCCAATTGCATGCAAGGGGTCACAGGGTGTCGGAGAATTGAGAACAGGAACATTAGTATTGAGAAGAAAGAAAAGAGTAATCATGAGAACAGTTGGTAGCAATTGACATGGCATTTTAAATGTTTTTGCAGATTAAAGTTGGTTGAAAAGCATAGAACAGGAAGGGAGTTCCACAATTGAGAAGTGCGGGATAAGAAACAGTTAGCATAGAAGTTGCCGTCACATCTAGCTAGCTCAACTATAAATTGATTGATGAGATCTCGGCGCTAGTCTAGTATTGCGTTTAAATTCATACAGTCTAGGTACCATAGTGAAATGCTCATCCGAACAATTACCATGAAAGAATTTATAAAAAAAAAGGGCACAGAGAGTCAATCTTACGACGGTGGGAAAGTGACTAAAGCCGAGCAGCCAGATCACGACTAATAATATTGCTGATTCTTCTTTGGATCTTATCAAGGAGCTCCAGGAAAATAGCAGGAGCAACAGACCATATATGGCAACAATATTTTAAGCATGGACGAATGGTAGACTATAGAGATGCAAAATAGATTCCGGAGAGAAAATTGTCTTTTGGTACTTATTTTTTTTGTATTTTTGTTATTATAATTTAATCATGAAATAATGGCATTCTCTTGAATGGATTATAAAGTTTTTATATTCATATTTATATTTTGGCATTAAATAACCCATGGAGGTGTTGATATGCCGCTAAACAAAACCAAACAAACCAAAACCAATTTCTCTTATATTTATATTCCCAAATGAAACCTAAAATTTTTTTTGCGTATAAGAATTATATAAAACATTTAGAACCTAATGTTTTGGAAAAAAAAACAATGTCAAGTTTTTATTTATTCAGAAAATTACTGGCAGTAATGATTTTAGGCAAATGATACAGCCCAACTGAAAGGCATTGCCATAGATTGGGGCCAAAATAACATTTAGCTTTCTGTTTTTTTTTTTTTAATCAGTTTCATCGAAAAATGGGGAGGTTGAAGCCTTTCTTCTAGTCCCCTCCCTATAGCGCCGTGGATATATATACGAGAAGCCAAGTACACCCGTAAATAATGTAGGTAGATCCTTGGAGATATGGGCTATAATTTGAAACGCTTGGAGAATTAGGTCACCTTAGAACAAAGGTGATAGGGAAACGGAGTATTTTTGATCAGATGCGAGGAGAGGGGCGATTCTACTAGAAGTTGGTTCTGGTAAGTGAAAGGAACTAGAATGGAATTAGTCGAAGAAAATCCAAAGAAGAGAACAGAAACGAAAGATGTAAAGAAAAAAGAAATGGTTGGATGGAAATGTTTTACTTTTGAATTTCACGTGTGTAAAGATTGCGAAGGTAGGAAGCTAGAAGATGAAAAAGAAGAAAGAAGAAGAAGAATAGAAAAAAAGAGAAGAAGAAGAAAAAGAAGAAGGATAGAAGAAGAAGAGGAGGAGGAGCAGGAGAAAGAAAACAAAAGCAAGAAGAAGAAGAAGAAGAAGAAGAAGAAGAAGAAGAATGAAAGGAAAAGAAAGAAAAATAGAAAAAACAACTGAAAGACCTGAAGGAAGTAAAGTACAAAACAGAAAAAAGGAAAAATATGCAAAAAGAATAAAAGAATTCATATAGGAAAAGGTGATGCCGATGATCATAATGCTGCTGTTGCTGCTGATGATGAATTGAAAGGAAAAAGAGAAAAAAGAAGCGATTAAAAAGCGGGAAAAAATATCAGTGCCTGGCAAAACTACGAGAAAACATGCACAAAACTGGGGAATATGATCAGTATCGAAGCACTTGGACCAGTCCCGGAGAATTGGGAACCCTAGGAAACATTGAAACCCTTCAAAATTACATTGTTGGGTTTACCAAATATATGAGGGCAGCTTTAGTAGTCACTGCCGTCGGCGCACTGAACATTTAAAATAAGGAATAAGACGGTTAGGTTAGCTTGAGAAAAACAGCAATTAAAAACTAGCTTTATGCTCCTCAAAATCACCAATCTCTCGACCAGAGAACCTTGCTGCCGGATGTAGTTTATCGTCATACCCAGGACTGGCCTATAAGAATTATACAACTACCTCCTGGACCCTCCGCTGACAATTACCCCTAGACAAACCTCCTCATAGGACAACAGCGACCAGGACAATTGGCCACTTTTTTACAGTTATGTGCCATGCGTGATACACGCTTAGGCGATCATATATCTTTCGATACATGACTGACGAGGCAGATTTTTTTCTTGCAGTAGAAGAGGAATTATACTTCAATAATAAAGATCAATTTCTAAAACCCATAAAAATATAAATCTTATTATTGGATCATTTTTCTTATTGGATAACATGAAATGTAAGTATTAATTATTGTAATTATTAATTTTTTTTTTATAAACATTAGTTTGAGCAGACGGTTAATAATTATGTAATTAGTAATTATTTTATTTTTGCGTATAACCCAAAATTCGCAATTTTTGTCGTATAATTATAATCATAGTGATCTAAAAATATAATTCTTTTTATTGGATAATAAATAAATCATGAAAATAAAACCCTAATTAGTTTTATTAGAATTTATTCCCCTCTCCCAATCCACAAATTGTATTTTCTCTTAATTTTCTCTTAATGGGAGCAATAGTCCAGGGGGCAGTTGCCTTTGAGGTCAATTGTCCAGGGGCGAATGTCCGGAGGCAGTTGTCCCGGGGCAGTTCTCTTGATATCAAGAATTATATCCGACATCAAATAAGCCAGTAAATGTTGATATGCTGTTAAGATAAGCAATATATTGGAAATGTCGAAATCTAGCAAGTACAGAAGTTTAAATATATATGGGAAATGTTAAAGCATATGACGGAACATGTCACACAGAAATCAGAAGGTGTCTTGGAAAGGCAAGAAATACATTTATGACTCAACCATCGATTCATTCAAAACACTTTGTTGATCAACGTCTAGCCCAATCAGTATTTAGATTGGTGGGGGCTTTGCTTGGAAATACCTGGTATTGCAAAAAACGTCCTACAATTAGAAATATGTTTCAATATTAAATGAATTTTAAAAGGTTGTTAACCCGTAAAAAAAATCTCCAGGATCTATCTTACACATTTATAAGTATGTCATTCGTCAACACTTTGAATATAAATGCCACATATGGTCCGGGGAAGATTTCTCTAAGATATTCGTTCCAACGCTGAAGAAATTTTTCTTCTCACGTGAATATTCAGAAACGACCTTATTGGTTAACTGATAAAACATGAAAATAAAAACTTAATCAGTTTTTATCAGAATTTATTGTACGTTCTCTTATATTTCTCTTAATGGGAACAATTGTCCGGTGGGCAGTTGTCCTTTGAGGACAATTGTCCAGGGGCCAATTGTCAGGAAGCAGTTGTTTCGGGAGCAGTTCTTCTGATATCAAGAATTACACTCTACATCAAATAAGTCAGTAAATGTTGATATGCTGTTAAGATAACCAATGTATTGGAGATGTCGAAATCTAGCAAGTACAGAAGTTTAAATATATATGGGAAATTTTTGTAATATATGACGCTACATGTCACGTGGATATCAGAAGGTGTCTTGGAAAGGCAAGAAATGCATTTATGACTCAACCATCGATTTATTCAAAACACTTTGTTAATCAACGTCTAGCCTAGTCAGTATTTAGATTGGTGAGGGCTTCGCTTGGAAATACCTAGTATTGCAAACAAGCTCCTACAATTAGAAATATGAGTCGGTTTTAAATAAAACAACAAATCACCAAAATATATCTTACATATTTTTAAGTTTACCGTTCGTCAATGCTTTGAATATTGCCGCCACATATGGTCCGGGTCTCCTGCTGTATATTTAGAGATCTCTATCTATAAAAGGCAGGATTTGTTTGTGTGTGTGTGTGTGTGCGTGTGTGTGTGTGTAACGAATGCACGGCCGCAATTTTCGACGGATTTGCACCAAAATTTACATGCACATGCTCCAAGTTAGCGAGAAAGCCAAGACCAACTTTGCATTTCCCAACTCCCATCCATAGTGAAAATAATCGATTTTTTCATGCTTCTACGGCAGTTTTCATGTAGTTTGCGGCCATTTTCTACTGGCCTGAGTGAGAGCCAATAGCTGGCTGCCACGAATAGGCAGGAAGATTCTATTGGCCAGCGTGAGAGCCAACAGCTGACTGACACGAATGTTAACTAGCATGCTAGCATGCAAAAAAAAAAAATCGATAGCTGCATTCGTCACAAATGGGAAAAATTTAAATCTGCATGGCACTTTACTCCAATTGGCTCATTCGCTTGCTTAAACTCAACGTTGATTCTGATTCCGCAGAACTGGTTTGGGTGTGAAAAAGTATTTGTTGCTAACATTCTTTTTTCATTCGGTTTTTCCAGTTACGAGTCCTTTTTTTAAAGCTGATCGTTTTGTGTTCATTTTGTTTAGTTCTTTTTTCGTAACAGATTTAATATTTAGTATAGAGCTTAGAAAAAATTCTCAGTGTGAGATAGGCAAGAAGTAAGGCATGTAGCAACACCAGCACGGCAAAGGGCACTCCTTTAAAGGCATGGAAGGGCAAAAATATTCTAAATCAAGTGATAGCGATTGCTGTATGAGTCGTACGATTTTTGAATCAAGCACGGGCAACGCCGGGCCATGCTGCTAGTTCTTGATAAAATCCAGTGAAGAATCAGCAATTTTATTGGTTCTGACCTGGCATCTCAGCTTCAGTTACTTTACCACCGCCGTAACGTTTTTTTTCCCTGTGCCTTTTTTATAAATAATTTCATGGTAATTGTTCAGATTAATTCTTTGCTATGACCCCCAGATTTTATGAATTGAAGCGCAGTACTAGATTGGCGGCTAGGTCTCATAATTTTACAGTTGACTTGGCTAGATCTAACGACTGGTTATATGCTAAGAGTTTCTTTTCTCGTACATCTCGCTTATGGAATTCTCATCTATCTTTATTCGTTCCAGTAAACTTTAATCTTCAAAAATTTAAATGCATTTTAATCGTTATCTACTATCTCCTTCATTACTTTTCTTTTATTAGTCTCGCTACTTAATAATATTTCTCTTTTTATTTCCTATTATATCACACCCAGTAACCCCTTATGTCTTAGTGACTTTACAGCCTTAATTGGGGTGAAATGATTAAAGAAAAATTATCGGATCAACATATATATATATATATATATATATATATATATATATATATATATAGAGAGAGAGAGAGAGAGACAGACAGACAGACAGACAGATTTGTTTTGTTTTGTTTTGTTTTATGGCATATCAACCACAATGGGTTATTTAATACCGACAAAATTTTCTTTTTTTTTCAAAAATGTATAGCTGGTAATATTTTTTTTTTTTAAATATATAGTTTGGTTTTTGTTTTGTCGCATATTAACCTCAATGGGTTATTTAATGCTGACAAGGTTTTTATTTCTGGTAATATTTTCTTTTTTCAAATATTTATTGCTGATACTAATTTTTTAAAAAGTATTTCTGGTATTAAAATCTATTTTTAAACTTTCATAGTGTTTTGAGTCAGGTCAACTATTTGCCCATAGCTGGGACCCTAACAGGTGCTACCACCCCTAGTCAGGGTGGACCTGGGAACACCAGCAATTAAGAGGTGGTTCCACGCTTCTCAAAACTTCTTGATCAGAGGCCTTGCTGCTGGACGTTGTTTATCGGATGTAGTTTATCGTCATCCCCAGGACGGGTAGACAGACAGAGTGTATGTGTGTGTTCTTGAGTGGAAATGAACTGGAAAGCGGAGAACGTGTCATGTCGGGAAATGTGAAGCGAAAGGAAACGACAGAGAAGTGACGAAAGGGAAACGCCATTTGAACTTCAATTCTGTGGAGAAATCCAACAGATACGAAATGCTATCAAAAATTGCTGAAACGGTTGGGATCCAAATGAACGGCACGATTCAGATCAGGCATACCGATCCTGTCATCGTAAAGAAGACGAACATCTGAAACAGACAGCGAAGAATATAACAGGAGCAGAGTGGGGAGTCGACGGGATGGGTTGACCTTGCGAGAGAAATGTGAAAACTGTGGAACAGGGAGGTAAACAGCTGTGCTTACCATTCTTGGCAGCCTTGAAATACTTTTGAAGAGTCTTAGAAAAGAATTAGAAATTCGCAGAAGCCTGGATACTTGTCCAGATGATATCGGCTAAATATTCACCGAGAATAACTCACTAGTTGCTGGCGTACAGAGACTCACTTCCGTTTGAACTTTGAACTCTGGTGAGAGAGCAAACATTTCTTTTTTTTTTTTATGTGCCCTTTCAGATTCTGGGCGATCAATGCCATCCACACAACTAAGATCTATCTCAAGTTCCTAATACTTCCACACCCTGTAACCTCTTGTGTCTTAGTGGCTTTACTGCCTTGCAGTACTGAGTTGCTACGTGACATCTGTCCTCCTTTATGGCAGCGAATGTTGGGCGGTCTCCTCAAAGATGAAAAAGAGACTCGAGACAACGGAGGTATGGTGCTACAGAAAGATGCTAAGGATATCATGGGCCGATCGTGTGAGCAACGATCAGGTTTTGAAGAGGATGCAAGCAAGTAGTAAGCTTATACTTAACATCAGGAAGAGGAAGCTGAAATTTCCAGGGCACGTAATGAGAAAGAAAGGCTTGGAGAATGTGATACTCCCTGGTCGAATAGAGGGAAATTGAAACAAAGTAAATCAACGCGTGGATGACAGAACATAGACTGGGGTAAATAGCAAAGGGAGAGCTACAAGGGATAGGGTGAAGTGGAGGGCTATGATCGCCTACGTCCCGAAGGGACACGGCACATAAAAAGAAAGAATTGGCTGAAGCTGATTAAAAGAAATATAGAAAGAAAAAATAGTAGTAGTTTCGCCCAACACCGCAAATTGCTACGCAACCGAAAGATTGAAAATTCGAGTAATATTCTTAAATAACCTTGTCAGATCGATGTCTTGATATGGATGTCATACATAGCTCCGAACTTGTTTAGAAATATCTAAACAGTCAGCTGTATTTGCGTTTTTTCAGATCAATGGTCAAAAATGGCTTCGGGTGCATGAAGCATGAAGGTCTTAGTGGTGATTAAACTTCTTCGAACCTTGTGACCTGGCGCTACATAATCATAAAGGCTTCGAATATCATAAGTGCATCGTCTGTAGAAGATAAGAAACAGCTAAATTTCGTGTGGCTACTTGGAGACTCGGGTAATTCTGACCAATGGCTATCATTTTTATACTATTGTAAATCGGACCTATATTAATCATTTTATCTCTAGTGGAAACTGTACCCATGTCTACCTTCTTGATTCGAGTGTAAACTGGGCCTATGTCTACCTTTTTGATTCTATTATAAATTAGACCTATGTCTGCTTGTTTGAACTTTGACTTCGTGTCTCATTTTTTTGGACTCTATTATAAACGGACCTATGTCTAATTCTGGTTTAAACCAAACCGATATCTACCTTCGTGTATAAACCGGGTCAATATTTACATTTTTAATCCTAACTTAAACGTGGCCGACATCTATTTTTTAACAGAGTAAACCGTACAATAATGTTCAGCTTGTACAAGGCCCAAGAGCCACTCGATATAGAGAGTTACAGAATAAGAGGCACAGTTTATGGGGATATGTGGGGAAGATAGACGGTTAACGCTAAGCTTGAAGAAGTTATGATTGTAGTGTAAGCATTCTCTTGTGAGTCGATTCCACAAAGCAGTAGTTGTTGTGAAGAAGCTGCTCGATTCGAACTTAGATCTCCCCAATGGAATACGAAGAGAATGAGTTTGGTTCGCTACAATGTCCGTGGCATGACGGGTCTTAAATGTTAGAACTGGTGGAACTAAGGAATTTTGTTTGTCTGAACACTTTTCATGGAAGTAGCGATACAGCAACAAGAGGCTTGCATTGTTTCGGCTGTGGGCTGTAGGGTTGAAAATAGTTAATCACCCACAAGGACGCAGAGAAGCTTTTGACCTCTGTCAATACTGGACAGGTCCTGATCAAATATGGCCGCAATATTCCATGTTCAGTTTGATCTGGCTCTTGTAAAGTTAGGGAATAGTAAAACTTAGATACTTACCTGGAGCGGTACACGGTACCAACCATTTTGCTGGTATCTTTTTTTTTTTTTTTTGACTCGAGTGAATTCATAACCAATCTCTTGCTTTTTAACTGGGATATCAAATTTGATACAAATATTTAAGTAAATGCTCTGTTTTATAATAAACAGTATTAAACAACATTTACTGGCCTGAATGACCGAGAAATTTTCAGAGAATTTACTGAAATACTTGTATCAATAAAAAGAATGTTGAACATAAAAATGTCTTTAAATAATTATCGGACTTTGTCCATTTCACAATATAAGACTTATATTCGATATTAAATAAGTCAATAAATGTTTTAGATTGACTAACCTAAACTAATCTAAATGTATACAATGTAAAAGAACGTCGACCAACGACGAAAAAAAAAAATTAAACGGAACGAGAAGCGATAAGGTTTTGGGAAAAATAACTCGGGCATAAAATACAAAGCTATTAAAAATGGAAAAAGAAATTCACCTCCCACAAGTAAATAAAATGTCGACACTACATAAATAATTCGGTAAATAAAGAAATAAGCGGGCCATAAGAGAGAGAGAGAGAGAGAGAGAGAGAGAGAGAGAGAGAGAGAGAGTGAGAGAGAGAGAGAGAGAGAGAGAGAGAGTGTGTGTGTGTGTGTGTGTTTGGAAGAGAAAATGAATTGGAAGCGAAGAACGAGTCAAATTGAAATGTCGTGAAGAGCAGGAAGCGAGTTGGGTCGAGGCATGCAAGGCACGTGCCGACACGCTTCCTCCCGCTGAGAAAAGAACTGGCGTGGAAGAAATATGAAACACATAGGCACACACAGAGAAACTCACACACTGAAAAACACACACGCATACGCACGCGTACGCACATGCCTACAAAATACATACACAGACATAAGTTCTTGCTTGGAATTTGGTTCAAAGTTAACGTAAAGGAAAGTAGAGGAAATATGAGAGCTTGGCACTTGTGTTTTTCTTCTTTCTTTAAGTCAATATGTTGTCTTTTTCCCTTTTTAATTTCATGCCTTTTCCTTTGTATTGCATTTCTACCTTTGTATTTTCTTTCTTTTTCTTTCCTTCTTTTACTTTCTTTATTTTGTTTCTTTCTTTGTCCTTAATTCTGAACTTTTCTTTCATTTCTTCTGTAATTTCTTTCTACCCTCTCTCTTTGTACATAATTTCTTTTTTTCTTTTCGCACTGTGCCTTTATTTATTCGTTCTTTCTTTCTTGCTTGCTTTCTTTCTTGCTTTTTTTCTTTTGTTTGTTTGTTTTCATTGACCTTAATTCTGCCCTTTTCTTTCATTCCTTTTTTGTGGGCTTCTGTAATTTCTTTCTACCCACTCTCTTTGTACATAATTTCTTTCTTTCTTTTTCTTTCTTTTCACACCACACCTTTATTCTTTCTTTCTTTCTTTCTTTCTTTCTTTTCTTTTCTTCTCTTGCAAATTTTCTTTTTTCTTTGTTTTTACACAACTTTTTTTTCTTTCATTCTTTATATCTTTCTGTTTACCCCACTATTTTCTTTTTTCTTCACATGCAACTTTTTCTTTCTTTCTTTCTTTCTTTCTTTCTTTCTTTGTACATAATTTCTTTCTTTCTTTTTCTTTCTTTTCACACCACGCCTTTATTCTTTCTTTTTGTTTGTTTGTTTCTTTCTTTTTCTTTGTCCTTAATTCTGTCCTTTTCTTTCATTTCTTTTTTTTTGTGTGTTTTCTACTTTTTATTTCATGCAACTTTTTCTTTCTTTCTTTCTTTTTCTTTCTTTCTTTCTTTCTTTCTTTCTTTCTTTCTTTTTGTACATAATTTCTTTCTTTCTTTTTTTTCTTTTTTCACACCACGCCTTTATTCTTTTTTTTCTTTCTTTCTTTCTTTCTTTGTCCTTAATTCTGTCCTTTTCTTTTCATTTCTTTTTGTGTGTTTTCTACTTTATTTCATGCAACTTTTTTTTTTTTTTTTTTCTTTCTTTCTTTCTTTGTACATAATTTCTTTCTTTCTTTTTCTTTCTTTTCACACCACGCCTTTATTCTTTCTTTCTTTCCTCCTTTCTTTCTTTCTTTCTTTCTTTCTTTCTTTGTCCTTAATTCTGTCCTTTTCTTTCATTTCTTTTTTGTGTGTTTTCTACTTTATTTCATGCAACTTTCTTTTTCTTTCTTTCTTTCTTTCTTTCTTTTTCTTTCTTTCTTTCTTTCTTTCTTTCTTTCTTTGTACATAATTTCTTTCTTTCTTTTTCTTTCTTTTCACACCACGCCTTTATTCTTTCTTTCTTTCTTTCTTTCTTTGTCCTTAATTCTGTCCTTTTCTTTCATTTCTTTTTTGTGTGTTTTCTACTTTATTTCATGCAACTTTTTCTTTCTTTCTTTCTTTCTTTCTTTCTTTGTACATAATTTCTTTCTTTCTTTTTCTTTCTTTTCACACCACGCCTTTATTCTTTCTTTCTTTCTTTCTTTCTTTCTTTCTTTGTCCTTAATTCTGTCCTTTTCTTTCATTTCTTTTTTGTGTGTTTTCTACTTTATTTCATGCAACTTTTTCTTTCTTTCTTTCTTTCTTTCTTTCTTTCTTTCTTTCTTTGTACATAATTTCTTTCTTTCTTTTTCTTTCTTTTCACATCACGCCTTTATTCTTTCTTTCTTTTTGTCCTTAATTCTGTCGTTTTCTTTCATTTCTTTTTTGAGTGTTTTCTACTTTATTTCATGCAACTTTTTCTTTCTTTCTTTCTTTCTTTCTTTCTTTCTTTCTTTCTTTCTTTCTTTCTTTGTACATAATTTCTTTCTTTCTTTTTCTTTCTTTTCACACCACGCCTTTATTCTTTCTTTCTTTCTTTCTTTCTTTCTTTCTTTCTTTCTTTCTTTCTTTCTTTGTCCTTAATTCTGTCCTTTTCTTTCATTTCTTTTTTGTGTGTTTTCTACTTTATTTCATGCAACTTTTTCTTTCTTTCTTTCTTTCTTTTTTTTTCTTTCTTTCTTTGTACATAATTTCTTTCTTTCTTTTTCTTTCTTTTCACATCACGCCTTTATTCTTTCTTTCTTTCTTTCTTTCTTTCTTTGTCCTTAATTCTGTCCTTTTCTTTCATTTCTTTTTTGTGTGTTTTCTACTTTATTTCATGCAACTTTTTCTTTCTTTCTTTCTTTCTTTCTTTCTTTCTTTCTTTCTTTCTTTCTTTGTACATAATTTCTTTCTTTCTTTTCACACCACGCCTTTATTCTTTCTTTCTTTCTTTCTTTCTTTCTTTCTTTCTTTCTTTCTTTGTCCTTAATTCTGTCCTTTTCTTTCATTTCTTTTTTGTGTGTCTTCTACTTTATTTCATGCAACTTTTTCTTTCTTTCTTTCTTTCTTTCTTTCTTTCTTTCTTTCTTTCTTTCTTTTCGCCTATCTGTGTATCGCCAGTCTTTTTCTTTCTTTCTTTCTTTCTTTCTTTCTTTCTTCTCATGCAACTTTTTTGTTTTTTGTTTGTTTCTTTCTTTCTTTCTGTCTTTCTTCGCATGTAAACTTTTCTTTCTTTCTTTCTTTCTTTCTTTCTTTCTTTCTTTCTTTCTACTTAATATTATTTTGTATTTTTTCACTTTTTCTTTCTCATTTTCTTTGCGTTCCCCATAATCATTCTTTTTCTTCGACATCCCTTCTTATTTTTTTTCCTTCGGGAACAATAGCTAGGGCACTTAAGCAGGTAGAAATCTTGAGTGTTCAACACAGAAGGAGACAAGTGCGGTTGGTGTGCAAGGGAGAAGACTTGTACGATTGGGAGCTTCAGTTCATTCTGATCATTTATTTTTCTTTTCGCCCATATCATTCTCGACTTTTTCTTTCTTTTTTCCTTCTTCCTTTTCTTCGTTTTTCCTTTCTCACTCACTTTCTTACATTTCCTTTCTTTATCCCCAACCCCCTTATCAGTCCTCCTATACGCCATTCCTTTCTTGTTTCCTTATACAATTCCTTCAGATTTTCTAACCCATCCCAATTTTCTGTCCCCTTTCCTTCCTTCCTTCCTCTCTCCCCCTCTCTGTCTGCCTCCCTCCTTCCTTCCTTCCTTCCTTCCTTCCTTCCTTCCTTCCTTCCTTCCTCTTCTAATGGCTCCCTTTTCTTTCTGGTTTCAAGCACTAAGTGAAGCTCACCCAGAAATGTATCGGACCCTTTCCCCAAACGGAGATAGCATTAAAAAAAAAAGAGAAAAAAAAAAAAAAAATTGCCAAATATATCCTTTATTCTCGGACCGATTTTCTCCGGAAATGGGAGAACCTACACAGAGATAACACACACACACACACACACACACACACACACACACACTTAGAGAGAAACGCATGCGCACATACACTCATATATACTTTAGTAAAAGGTAGAAATATGAAAAACAGAGAGAGAGGAAAGAGAGTGGTATGGGAGAAAGACAGGGGAGAGAAATAGGGGGTAGGAAGAGAAGCGATAAAGAGAGAAAGGAGGGTGTGAGAGAGGTCGGATTGTGTTAATAGCTAAAGGATATTGTAAGAATCTTAAGAATTATTAACACACACACACACAGAAACAGGTTAATATACAGGCATCTATATGTATGCATGCATATAAGCATCAATTTTTATATATATATATATATAATATATCATATATATATATATATACGTCATATATCGTGTATATCTCTATATATATATATCTATCTATCTATCTATCTATCTATATCTATATATATATATATATATATATATGTACGATATATGGTAGTATATATTAAATATATAATACATGTATATAAATATATTACAGTATATGTATTTATTTATTAAAAAGTTATTTTTAGTGGATACTCATTTTTAAGTAGAAGATCCGTTTTTTTTAAACAGTATATTATTTCGTTTACCAAATTGAACTTTCGATAAACCTTATTAAAGAAAATGCACTGTCCGACAGTATTCGAACCTGCGTCCTCCTAACAGGTTTGCTTGAATATATGAGAATGCATAAAAATAAATGTACACATATCTAGTCTATATTAAAATATTTTATACATTATATAACATATATATGTATAATATAAATTTTTATATATATATATATATATATATATATATATATATATATATATATATACATGAATTATTCACACAAAACTAATGCAAAGGTTAATGATTTAAATGGCGAGACATCCATCATCGCAAACAATTCAAATAGTACACAAAAACCTCCAGATCCGTTATGAACGAATTGATCCTTGTTTATATAAATTTCTGCCGTATTAGTTGTTATTTTTACTACAAGCTTTCGTCTGTTCCTACAGACATCTTCAGGTATATAATAGATGTTGTTCTTGTTTTTTCTCTTAGTAATAAGAGGACATCGAAAATATATGTTATTGTATCCGAAATGCTATTGAAAATGAGTTATTGGTTTTTTGAACGCGCCAAAGCAACGCTGAGTTTGATTTTAAATTTTTAAAATGTTTGCGTTTATACCAAATATGGTGTTGAACAAATTTTACTGGTAAATTTTACTGTCAAAGTGGCATGAACTATATTGTTCAATCATTACAGTAATGTCGCACTTATTAACTAAAAAGTCGCACATGGATCAGTTATTTAAATTACAATAAACGTGCAATCAATTTACAAATACATGAATTATTCACACAAAACTAATGCAAGGTTAATGATTTAAATGAGACATCCATCATCGCAAACAATTCAAATGGTACAAAAACCTCCAGATCCGTTATGAATGAATTGATCCTTGTTTATATAAATTTCTGCCGTATTAGTTGTTATTTTTACTACAAGCTTTCGTCTGTTCCTACAGACATCTTCAGGTATATAATAGATTTTGTTCTTGTTTTTTTCTCTTAGTAATCTGGAGGTTTTTGTGTACAATTTGAATTGTTTGCGATGATGGATGTCTCGCCATTTAAATCATTAACCTTTGCATTAGTTTTTGTGAATAATTCATGTATTTGTAAATTGATTGCACGTTTATTGTAATATATATATATATATATATATATATATATATATATATATATATATATATGTATATATATATATTCATTCTATCTCTGGTATTGAAAACTTTATCCAATAAATATACCACACCTCAAAACTATATTTCTTCATATATATATATATATATATATATATATATATAGTTGTATATTTAGGCAGCAATCCTTCTTTTATGCATGTTTCATTAAAAACGAGAGACAAGGTACTACGGTTAAGCTTTTTATTTAATTTTCTTGTGTTCAGACAAGTGCTTTCTTTTCTGGACAAAGGTTGTGTAAGAACTGTCCAAATGTTTTATATTTCCGAGCGCTTTCGGCTATACCTTTAGCCATTATCAAGGATGATTCGATTTTTCAGCTTAATTGAGTGTGTGCGTTCTGTGTATGTCTTAGTGTGTGGTAGGGATGTTTTTAATTTCCGAATACGGTTAGCACATTGTGGCTTTGTTCGTAGTTAATATTGTTAAGAGTTGGCTTATGTGTTTTTACACACACTTTGTCCAGAAAAGAAAGCTCTTGTTCGAACACAAGAAAAATTAAATAAAAAGCTTAACCGTAGTACCTTGTCTGGCGTTTTTAATGAAACATGCACACACACACACACACACACACATATATATATATATATATATATATATATATATATAACACGTACGCACGTGCACACACACACACACACACACACACACACACACACACACACATTCTGATACCTCCTGAATATTGGACAGATCGATTACTAAAAAGTCCATCTACGAAACTGTGAAGTCGAGGTGCTGAATATAACATTAATTACTTAAGTGACAACTTTAATATTTGTATTGACCCCATATATATATATATATATATATATATATATATATATATATACGTATGTATAATTTTATCCCTAACAAAGGGATGAACGCCCGTGGTTACTGAATGTGATTGAGAACAACAACAACAACAACAAAAAACACGATTTGACGAGACAGAATATGCTGATTGATGGTGAAATAAAACTTTTGAAGATTATAATTGACAATACAGCAAATAGCTGGAAGAGAGTTCCACAGCGAAGAAGTGCGAGAGAAGAAACTATTTGAACTTACGTTTTACACATACCAATATCAACAGTAAAAAATAAGACCTAACTGCCACTCCAGTACTGCGCTTGTAGTGTAGTGTTACTGATTCATGGGAAGTAGTATGCACTCAACTACCTCATGGGTAACAGCCGTAGCTAGTCATAGTCTTTGTGACTTCTTATGTAAATGAGTCACCTCCTCTCCTTGTACCCAAGAGGTTTTATCCACTCATTTTCCCTGGTACTTCTGGGGGGAGCTTTTTTCTCTTCAATATCGTCTTCCCTCTCCCTAAAAAGAATGTCTAGATTAGATATAGGAGATCTTGATCCTTTTCTTTTTTCATGGGAGTGTTCCTCCAGCGATTACACCGGTCGACATTTTTTGTTCGAAGCAAATGTTGTTGGGCAATGGTCACATGTTTCTGGGCTATTTTTTCCGGCTGAATTTGAAAATCAAGTTCATTTTTTCCCATCACAATACATTTTCTCAGTACTGATAATTTCTATTTTTTCTTTAAATAGGCCAAAATACCCATTTAATAATGATATGCCAGGGCCAAGTAGATTCAACTTTAAACGTTTTCAGGTTAGAATAACTTGTCATAAATGAAAATGTAATTCAATAACTGTTGTGGTAGGATCCACCTAATTTGCATAGTGGAGTACCGACCATATAAATATGGTTGGCACCGGGAAGAGAGGAGGGGAATCAAGAGATTCAACCAGAGACTCTGCCCGACTGCGACTCAGTCAACACATTCTCCAGGAACGGTCTTCCCAAGAATATACAAAAGACTATATGTAAATATTGTCTACACTTTCTTGTTTCAATACATTTTGTTCTAAGTACATTTTGTGTTGTATTATTATTCCATGCATTAGTCAAGTTTCAACAATAACTTAATGCATTTTCAGAACTTTCTGTTCAGAAAAAGTTTTCTGAAAAATTAAATTAAGGCAAACTTGTGTCATCAATTTTTGAATGAAAAATAAACAAAGATACAAAACAATGAAAAATACATTCATTTTTGTCCATCCTAAGGTATAACTCTTCTCCTTTTGGAAACTCTACGGTGCTTTTGAAAAGTTTGATCTTTTTTCATGCCCCAGCAGAAATCAGCCATCATATTACATATTACTCCCCTTTTTTTTTTACAGTTAATTTTTGTTTAACATCTTTAAAACGCCTGTCTGCCTGCGAGCAATTATTCCACTTACTATTTCTTTATCCGGAACAATATTCTGTTCAATATGGGATCTCATTTCGTATCTTCGGCTAATTTGTCTATCGACAAAATATCAGTTTCGACCCAGTATCAGAATGTATCTTTGAATTTTTCCTCCTCTTTCTCACTTTCAGAAGTAATCTCAACAAATCGTCTACATGCGGAATGGAATTGCCTTTCACATGCTCAATATCATAATCAAACGCCATCTTAGAATTCTAGAAGACGTTACCTTAAGAAGCTCCTTCCTCGGATTAAATATGAATTCTAAAGGTCTATGGTCGGAGCTTAGTTGGAATTTCTTTCCAATCAAAAACTGACGAGTTTTATTTGTCGTCCATATTATAGCCAGCTCTTCTTTCTCAATATTGGAAGAGTTTGATTGAGCTTTTGACAATTTTCTCGAAATATACATAATAGGATGACCATCCTGAGCTAATATTTCCAAAACTGAGTGTTCACTTGGGTCAGTTGTTACTAATTCCTTTGTAGGGCCGAACAACTTTTAAATTTTCAAATTCAACTTGTCCAAATAAATTCTACATTCTTTTTTCTTACAGCGGCAAAAGGTTCCATCAATTCTGAGTACTATTTATCGTCTGTAGAAATTTACAAGTCCTAAGAAAGATTCAAATTTTTTTTATGTTCTTTGGTACTTCCAATCTTAATAATTTTTCAATTTACGATTGGTCTGGTGATATGCCTTCGTTAGATATGGAATATCCCCCAAATTATATTTTTTCTAGTGTTTTGCACACATTTTTTCCGTTAATTGTTAATCCGGCATTTTAAAACTTATTTTATACCATACTAGTTTTCCATTTTAATTCTTCTTCGTTAATGACACCCACACAAATATCATCTTGGTAGTATATTGTATTTTTATATCGTTAACAATAACTTGCTCTATAGCCCTTTGAAAAATCGCATTTGCAGTTTTAATTCCATTTGGTTTTCTTTTCCATCTTAATAAGACTATTAGCATGTTTATTGTTGTGACTTATAACCTTCGTCAAGAGGTATTTGATGGCGTGGCGGTCTTCATCATATTAATTTAACTTCAGATTAAGAAACATGGCTGACGCAGAAAAGGATAAGCCAAAGACATTGTTACACATAAAATATGTATTTAACAAGATGTACAATATCAAACAACGATGTGAAAGAAAGCATGCATTTAAGTAAGAAAAGGTTGAAATAAACAAGAGTTGTCTCTCTTTAACTGTTATTTTAGTATTTCAAAGTTCACTGGAATAATGTTCATGAGAGTCTCTTGTAATGTTTGTACTTGTAAGCTTTTGCTGTGTAAGAAAAAATTATGTGATTATATACAAGATATGTTCAGCAAGTGAGTGGGGTGTGTGAGTGAGAAGGTTGGTGCATGGTTTCAACTGTCGTGGATTCGTTTGGCAGCTGAATTCCCAACAAAAAAAGGTCAGAAAATTCTTGCTTAAATAAGTAACTATAGTCTCCAGATCGCTGCACGGGGAGGTTTATTCTTCTTATGCAGACGATCTGATTGGTTGGCATAGACCAATCAGCGAGCGAGCGTTGGGGAGACATAAGAAAGCTTCTGTGATCCGTTTCTCCCAAAAGTGCACAAAACTGACTGCATAAAAATAGAGCGATTACAAAATTGTCGCATTGCTGCGATTTTTAAATTGTCTATAATAATGTAGTGGTGATTAATTAACCAATGAATGCTTGGCGTTGTATGTGATTTGTATTTGTAAGTATGTATGTATGTTCGTGCGTGATAGACTCCCACAATGGTATGCCGACATTAGATCAATTTTAGAGAATGTTTTCATACCCGTAAGGGAGTTCAAAGCTTATTTTACATTGGGGATAGGATATAGGTCTGCACATATTTTGTGGTTTACACCTATTTTGTAGTCATCACAATTGCGCAGATCCCCATCCTTCTTTCTTAAAATTACTAACGAGGAGTCCCATTTGCTTCCTCCTGCAGGACTCGTTCAAGTAGGCCTTGTTCCAGCAATGTTTTCAGTTTTTCCCCAACTATTTGTAGTAGTAGATAGACAGGCACTTTTCTTGCTACAAATTATGAGAGGGAGACATTTTCCTTTGCTTCATAGTTTTTTTTTTTAACATTCCTGTTTCTTCTGCCTTGACTTTCTTTCGCAATTTTGTCGAATTTATGTTCAATATATCATTTCCTATCAGACCGTCATTCATGTCACAGTGTACTCCGATAATTGGTAATACGTTAAGCCTACTTTTTTTAGTTCCACGTAGGCTTCAAAATAACATAACATTTTTCTCACAGATCCATCAAACTGGACCAATTCGATATTGCTTTTCTTTAATCTTGGTTTTTCTAATTTCTTCCAGGCATTTTTGGCTATCAACATAACGTCACTTCTCGTATCTAGTTGCATGTTCAATAAAACATTATTGATTCGAGTTTTTAATAATCCATTTTTCATTTATTCTATTCAATGAAAAAAAACGTCCATATTTATTTCTCCTTTCTTTGTTGGACCGTCTCTACGTTTCTCTTTTTGCTTTTACACATACGTTTAAAATGATTCATTTTGAAACACTTTTCACATTTTCAACTGTCTTGGGTGAGCAATTGCTGGGGTGGGGGAGGAGAAGAAGAAGAGGATTCATACCTTTCCCAAGGGTATTAGCACGAAAGTGAAATTTAATGGATTCGACTGGAATTCGAACACGGCTATCCGATTCCTCAGTCCGAGCCGATATTCATTACTTCACCACTATAATCAAATCACATGTGCAGGTTGTTTGGCTGTCGGTTCCTAGGAACTGAGTTGCTTGACTCTGGTACGTCGTAAAAGTCCACGATATATATATATATATATATGCATATATATATATTTTATACTGATCCTTTCCAATTTTCTGATCAATTTCTTGATGTTCAACAATGAAGGCGCCGTAGTTCATTTTTGTAACCCAAGTACTTTTGTAAGATCATCTTCAGGGGTAAATTACAGAGACGAACATATTGTAACTGCGCCTTCCTTGATTAATTTCATTTTAACATCAAGAAAGGATCAGTCTTTGCCGCGCCAGGAAATTCTTCTCCCCGAAATCGATCCTCCAGGTCTACAAATCAACAATTCGCCCTTGCATGGAGTATTGCTGCCATATATGGTCTGGAGCCCCTTCTGTTTGCCTCGGGGTTCTTGATAGGCTCCAGAGGCGGATATGCAATATAATTGGCCCTGCTCTGGCATCTCGTCTACAGTCACTTTCTCACAGACGCGCCGTCACCTCTCTCTGTCTGTTTTACAAATAGTTTCATGGCAATTGCTCCCAGACTTCAAGCGCCCTACGAGGCTGGCACCCTGCTCACCCTTTCACTGTCGAAACTCCTAAATGTAGCCGTCTCTTCTACTCCAATAGCTTCATGTCTCGCACTTCTCGCCTGTGGAACTCCCTTCCCTATTCCAGTTTCCCTGAGAGCTATAATCTCCAGCTATTCAAGTGTAATGTCAATCGACATCTCCAGTTGCCTTGGTCTATCCACTACCCTTCTCCTCATCCTTTCCTCTATCACTCCTATCTGATCTTGCTCCAAAATTTCTGTAACCCCTTTGCGTCATATATATATATATATATATATATATATATATATATATATAAAATGAAATATATCTTCTAGTGAAAGTGAAGACGAGGAGGCAACGCGGACAATTTTTTTAAAGAGGCGTTTCGCCAGAGAAGCGTATGCTTTCTTTAGTTTCCTTAGTTTAAATTTACAAGAAGAAAAATCTGTGTGTGGGAAAAATGCTTTGGGACCTCTGAGGATAAGTGGGTACCATAAATCAAATTAATTACTCTAGCATATGACCTCTTAATGTCCAGATTTGTTTGTTTTATTCGAACCGTTTGGCATTCTAGGATTTTAAATCATGGATTTTTAATCTTGCATATATATATATATATATATATATATATACTTTACACATGTGTATAGATATCCTCATCACCCAGGCATATATATATATATATATATATATATATATATATTAGGGGCCACATTATTTTGGGGGATAATTGTACATACTTGTACATGTACTCATATATTTGCTCATAGAAATATATATATATATATATATATATATATATATATATATACGCATCATGCAGGTTTTGTTACATGGATGGACATATAGATATGTATTTGTATGAAAACTAGGCATAAAAAGGCTTTAACATATGTATATGCCTGTATATATATGTTGATGTATATACACGTGCGCAAAAGTGTATATCTGTATATTTATATATGTGCAAAAACACACACATACACAGACATACACACATATATATATATAGGAATCCAAAAAGGAGATAAAAGCTCACTACAAATACAGAAAATGAACAATGAAATATTAAAAGGATATAAGGAAAATTTATTCCTTTAAAAAGGGATTCCTTTTATTTGACAGAAGAAGATCACGAAACCGGAAACCCGTGTAGCAAATATATGAAGAATAAAATCTAAAACAAATCTACATGATAACCAAAAACGTTTGCGCTTTCTAGCTTTTTTCAAAATACATACATATCTATCTATCTATCTATCTATCTATCTATCTATCTATCTATCTATCTATCTTCTTTATTGTATGGTATTAGATTCGAACATATGTAAACCGCTACATCAATGCATACAGGTTTCGATGCCTATCATAGCATCTCATCAGGCGGCGGTAAGTGAAGGTTAAATAAATATCTGATATAAATCCTACAATACCAAACGGCTCTAATATTGATAACGTACAAACACTCTTCAAGTCTGAACATAAGGAGGTGATAGGCTAGGGTAATTAATTTTATTCATGACACCCACTTATCCTCAGAGATCTTAAGCCATTGTCACCAAACACAATTTTGTCTTCCTTTCATTTTAAACTGAGGAAACCAAAGAGAACATACGTTCTTCCGGCAAAACAAGTCTTTTTTTCCACTTTGTCTTGTCTTCACTTTTGTTTCGGATTACTGTCATATATCTTACAAACGCGCACATCTATATTTTAAATATCAATATTTACACTTTGAGTAATCATGAATTTAACGTTCTTGTAAAAGGACGTGAAATTCCCGAATACGCACGCATACAAAACAGAGTAAAAACGTCAGTGAATTGAAAAAAACAACCTGAAAAAATTGGAAATACCGTTCAAAACCACAACCCCTGAAAACTGGAAATTCTACCAAGAAACTTTGATGCCGGGATAAAAATTGATATTTAAAAAGTTAAGTAATCATTTCATGTAATATCATTAACGCTCTATTTTTAATATTACAGTGCAACCTCCGTTCTCAAACGCTTCACATGTCGAACAAGTCGGTTTTTGAAGAGAAAATTCGAGATGAAACTGCCTTGGTTATCGAGCAAAATTCCGGTTCTCGAACAACGTAGCCGAACCAAGTCCCTGTCATTACTTGATTGTCATGCCAAAAGATGAGTCTAACATGCGAATTACAAATTGAGATACCAAAAAATCAAGCAAGTACAAATATATATATATATATATATATATATATATATATATATATATTATAAGTTTACTAATTTAAAAATATGGTCCCATCGCTACACAGAAATTACCATGTTTCAAAAACAGAAACTAAAAACTTTAAATTCAATTACAGAATTAAATTAAAGTCCCTAGTCCTGTTTCATTTTCAAGCGAATTTTCTAATAACTTATTTTGAAATTTACTGAGTTTTATAAGCACATACATTCATAATATGAGTATCTAAGGATACGGGGAAATCCAATGTTTTTAACAAGGGGTGGTATTCATTTTTCACTGACAACTATTGTATCAAAATATGAGTTACTTTCGAAAAGAAGTCAAGGTAGGGTAGGAGGGGCCTTTTTCAACGAATGATGATATCCGTTCAACGCATGTCGTCTGGTCTTTATCAATGACAAAATGTTTTTCGGTACTTTTGTTTCGCCGTTAAATTTATACTTGTATACATAAAGATTTCTTTTCTAAAAGGTTTGTTTGCACATGAATACGTTTACAATTTTAAAATATTATTTTTAATTTTAATTAGTAATAGACTATACTTCTTTAAAAACAAATAAATGTATAGAATTACTTAAATTATTTAAAATTTTTATTAAATATCAAATATAAATATGTATATTTCATTCATCAGTTTTTTTAAAAAACATTATTTAAGGAAATTTTTTGACAATGTCGGCAAAGAATAGCTATCTCATTTCTTTGATTAAGTAAATTTTTATTTTTTATAAAACTAGTAATATATAGTTTCTCATGTATGCACAGAGGACATGGGTGATTTAATGACCTACATATTTTAGCTTTTCTTATTAATTTCCATTTCACAGTGTGTGTGTATATATATATATATATATATATAATGAAATGAACAAAGTCCGACAATTATTTTAAGACATTTTTATGTTTATACATTCTTTTTATATTGAAGTAAATGTTCTGTTTATAATAAACAGTATTAACAACATTTACCGATCTGAATGTCCGAGAAATTGGCATAGGAAATATGCGTCCTCCGACAGGAATCGAATCTGTATCCTATACGGAACCATCATATAAACAGAGCATTTATTTAAATATTTGTATCTATAAAAAAGAATGTATAAACATAAAAATGTTTTAATATATATATATATAAATATATATATATATTTATACATATATGTGTGTATGTGTGTGTGTGTGTGTGTGTGTATTGAACAATAAAACATATTAAAATATTAAAATCTTCAGACACACTGGGTTGTATATTCATACTCCTTCGTTTTTATTATTATTATTTCATTTAAATTCCTCGACTAGTTTCGGCCAAAATGGCCATCATCAGGAGAAAAATAATTTTCTGCTTGCTGGTAGCAGTGAACTACAGAATATATATATATATATATATAGAGAGAGAGAGAGATAGATAGATAATATTAATGGAAAATATACATACATATGCAAAATATATAAATACCCATACATGTATATTTTTAGAAAAAAATTTCCAAGAGGAAGAGTCCAGGTAGAACTCAATGTCTAGGACAGAGTAAGGATATAATATATATATATATATATATATATATATATATATATATATATATACAAAACATTTTAACAGAGAACGAAAAATAATATATATATATATATATATATATATATACAAAACATTTTAACAGAGAACGAAAAATGCCACACAGAAATCCGAAGGCGCATTAGAATAACGAAAAATGTCTTTCAAACAATAAGTAAAGTATTAGAAGAACAGGAAAATCCCGTTAGAAATAAAGAAAAGCGTTCTCACCTAATTTTTTTACAGTAAGGGTCACCGTATACAGGATGCTGTGTGTAAATTGTCGCCATTTTATATCTTTAATTTTGCGCGTGCGCGTTGTTTGTTTTGGATTTTTCGGCTGCACAATACAGTAGGGTCAGTTGAGCTATGTTTGTGGGAAAATGAGGACCAGAACGCCATTCACTACGTCAGAAATTTAGAAACGGCATTCGCGATGGAAAGCTCCAATACGAACATTTCAGAACGTCTGGATATCAACCTGAGTACGGTGCCTTGAGAAGCTACGGTTGTCCTTTGTCAAGAAGGTGGCTGCTGGAAGACCCTATGTCTGGCAACAGGACTCTGCCCCATGCCACAACCATGAGAGCGCAGTCACGGCTGTCTACGACGGCATCAACCAGACTCCAAACCCCTTGATTATAATGCGTGGTGCACTGTTGAGCAAGAGCCTAACAAAACTCCTTGTAACACCAAAGATGAACTGAAAGCAAGAATTATGGCAGCATTCACCATTCCAGAAGAGTTGCAGGTGATTCTGAAGTCGTCTGGAGGGCGTGGTTGAAGCAAATAGCGATATTTAAAAATAAATTTGCTATTTACCATTTAAAGATATTTTTGTGTAATTTTGGAAAATATATCTGTTAAAATGAGATGTCAGTGTTATTTTAATTTTTGCGTAATTCAGACGACAATTTATCCATCGCGCCCAGTAAAAAGTCCCGAGGGCCACTCGAGATAGAGGGTTACGTTTGGAGGTAGTTTCTACGGATAGGAGAGAAAGGTATCGGTTAACCATAGACTTGAACAGGTTAAGATTGTAGTAATCGGGGGAAACATCCTCTTGGGAGTCGGTTTCACAGAACAGTAGTTCGCATGAAGAAGCTGTTCGAATGGAACTTACTTCTCGACGATGGAATACGGAGGGAATGTGTGTTGTTTGCTACTATGTAAGTGACATGACGGTTCTTGTCGGGAGGGTTAGGCCTGACGGAACCAAAGAATGTGGTTCGTCCGAGCAGTTTCCGTAAAATAGCGATATAGGAGGGACAGGCTTAGAGTAGAATATAAATATTACAATAAGGACACTTGGCACAATGGATAAAGGCGTTGGTTAGATCCAGTGACAGGACCCAAAGAGTGTGAGTTCAATACCCGGTTAAGGAAGTGCAGAACTTGGAAAGTGGAATTAACAGGAGAAAACTGATAATAGACATCCATTAAACATGGCACGTAAACTAGAACAGTCTACCCCAGTGAGCGAAATAAAGGGTTCAGTTCGACATTCCAACCACCTGAAGAAGGCGGGAGCATACAACGACCGAAACGTTGTAATAAATATGGCGACAAAAATGAGGACAACAGTCCTAATAATGTAAATAGTGTACATAATATAGACAGATAATGAAGGGCCGAAACGTTGAAATAAATATGGCGACAAAGATGAGGACAATAGTCCGAATAATGTAAATAGTGTACATAATATAGACAGATACTGAAGGGCCGAAACGTTGAAATAAATATGGCGACACAGATGAGGACAATAGTCCGAATAATGTAAATAGTGTACATAATACCTCATCTCAGAAATATAGACATACTGAAAGGCCGAAACTTTGTAATAAATATGGCGACAAAGATGAGGACAATAATCTAATGTAAATATATAATGTAAATATAGTATAATAATGATAATATATATAATCTGTATTCTGTTTATACGTTATTTTTATAGATACAAATATTTAAGTAAATGCTCTGCATGTAATAAACAATATTAACTATATTTATCGACCTGAATGACCAAGAAATTTCATAGTAAATTTCATGAGTGAATTCTGTTTATTATAAACAGAGAATTTACTTAAATATTTATATCTATAAAAATAACGTATGAACAGAAAATATATTAAAATAAGTGTCGGACTTAGCCTATTTCATAAAATATATAATCTATATCTCTATCTATAAAAGGCAGGATGTGTGTGTGTAACGAATGCACGGTCGCAATTTTCGACGGATTTGCACCAAAATTTACATGCACATGCTCCAAGTTAGTGGGAAGGCCAAGACCGACTTTGCATTTCCCAACTTCCATCGATAGTAGAAATAATCGATTTTTTTTCATCCTTCTACGGCAATTTTTATGTAGCTGGCTGCCACGAATAGGCAGGAAGATTCTATTGGCCAGAATGAGAGCCAACAGCTGACTGACACGAATGTTAGCATGCAAAAAAAAATCGATAGTTGCATTCGTTACAAGTGGGAAAAATTTAAATCTGCATGGCACTTTACTCCAATTGGCTCATTCGCTTGCTTAAACTCAACGTTGATTCTGATTCCGCAGAACTGGGTTGGGTGTGAAAAAGTATTTGTTGTTAACATTCTTTTTTTCATGCGGTTTTTCCAGTTACGAGTCCTTTTTTAAAGCTGATCGTTTTGTGTTCATTTTGTTTAGTTCTTTTTTCGTAACAGATTTAATATTTAGTCTAGAGCTTAGAAAAAATTCGCAGTGTGAGATAGGCAAGATGTAAGGCATGTAGCAACATCAGCACGGCAAAGGGCACTCCTTTAAAGGCAAGGAAGGGCAAAAATATTTTAGGTCAAGTGATAGCGATTGCTGTATGAGTCGTACGATTTTTGAATCAAGCACGGGCAAAGCCGGGCCATGCTGCTAGTAATAAATAATATGCCAGTGTGTCACTGTGTTGCACTTTTCAATTTTACTCTTAGAAGCAGTAGCCCAACATGTCATATCATTTTGGAATCAGACAGACTCCGTGAGCAATTTAAAATCATTCCGGTTCGGATCCAGACTATTCTGAAAGTTTGGATTCCCAACTTTTCATTACTCCGATTGTTTTACTTGATTTCTTTTGCGACGAATTTTTTATACGATAACAATTTTTATAACTTGGATATAGATTTGGTAATAATTGAAATTAACTGTGAAATCCAGCAAAAGTCATCGATGAAATAAAAATAATTGTTTGTACGGCAAGTAAGGACCTACGTACATCAAATTGTCTTTAAATTAAGTGGCGGCAGAAGAATTATCTTTGAAGTTTTAAAAGGTAAGCTTAAATATTAATGCAATACTTAACTACAGCAACCAACATTGAGTTCTGCAGTTTATTAGTGTCTATCGCATCTATTCCTTCCTACTTGTTCTGATAAAGGCCCAATCAAGAGCCCTTCGCTGGGGTTAGCTTAAATGCTACTCGATTTTGAACCTAAACGTAATCTTTAAAATCTTTTCCTCAAAAACAGTAATGATTTTGAAAAAAAAAATTAATGTCATTATTTATCATGTCAAACTCCAACTTCCAAATTGAGTGCAATATCAAGGTACCAAAATCGACCAACCAAATTGTACAAAACGCTTAGAGGCAATTTAGCAACCATTTTGAAGAATTTCATTATTTGTGGATTTTCTTGTTTATACACTAACTTAAATAGTGTGGAAGTGTTAGAAATTCTTAGCAGTGCTAGAAGAAATGTAATTATGAGTCCATGTTTGCGTATCTTTTAGAAATCAGTACGCGACGGATGCATATATATATATATATATATATATATATATATATATATATATATATATATATATGTATTGGGTGTAACATCAAACCTGTCCAAATCGTGTCACACCATAATTGTCCCTCCGACAAAATGTTTAATATCTAAAAAAAAAACAAACACTAAACTAATTGAGTTTCTGTTTTTGCAGGCTTTCAGATAAGACGTTTAGCCATCTTGACACCATTTGTCGTAAGAATCACATGAAAACCCTTTGAGTTATTCAGCTAGAAAGAGAAGAGGTTAAAATCTTTTTGTGTCAGACCCACTATGTCTTCCAAACTGAGCAATGGTAAGAGGAAAAAGATCATTCAGGCCTTCAGTAATGGTACCGACATTCATACTCTGGTTTCCATCTTCAAGGTTTATTCAAGAACCATCAAGAGAATGGTGAATAAGTTTCAAAAAGAAGGAACAGTAGAGAGGAAAACTGGATCAGGGGGTCACAACAGGAAGAGGGATCATCATTTCAATTTAGACCTAAAGAGATCAATTAGAAAAGATCCATCACAATCCATCAGAGGTTCTGGACGTGAAAGAGGAGTTTCAGCAATGACAGTCCAAAGAACAGTGAAAAAAGTCTTGAAAATGAAATCATACGTGAAAAGTATGAGGCACCTTGTTACTCCAGGACAGAAAGTTAAAAGGTTAGGTTAGAAAGGACAAAGATCATATTGAATAAGTTGGAAAATTATATATATATATATATGTATATATATATATATATATATATACGAATTTTATTTCAATCCTTCATGAAGTTTCGATCCTTACCTATAGTTAATTAATGATGAACATGTAATTTTTGTTTATGATCGATTTCATCTCTATTTTTCTGTTAAGCTTGGAAAATAATTATTCATTCTTATTGCTCCATGTAAAGTCTAGTAGGGTTATAAAAACTTTCAGAGAATTCAGTGAATACTTTAATCATTTTAAAGATTCAATATATATATATATATATATATATATATATATATATAATTATTTATTTAAAAATATGATTCCAACACGCGACATAAGAGGTCTCATGTTTCAAAACAAGAACCGAAAACTTCAATATAATTATTTGAATTAAATTGAGTTAAAGTAAGCTCTGTTCCATCTTCAAGCGAAATTTTTTGGGAATAACGTATTTCTGAATTTTACGTGTTTTAATAATTGAAATCATTCATATCTTCATATATATATATATATATATATATATATATATACATATATATATATTCAGGTATGTATGTATGTATGTGTGTGTATGTGTGTATGTATTGACATATGTATGTATCTAAATAACTTATAAATAGACAGCAAGAAATCATTCGAAAAGGATGTATGAAATCGACTGACAATATCAGATTTTTTTAAAGTTTGTTTTATAACATTTTTCCAGTTTGCGAATAAGCTGTCGCCCATCTAGATTTTAATTATTGTGAAAATTCGATATTCTTCAATAAATTTGGACCGGATTAGCAACTTATATGTAAAGTGGAAATTTTAAAATTGCCAGACATTCTCAGAAAGTGTTTAAATATATGAATATATACACGCACACCTATCGCCGATCATTCCTTCCTTCCTATCTATCTGTTTTTTCATTATCTATCTATCTATCTATCTATCTATCTATCTATCTATCTATCTATATCTATGTTTTTTTCATTATCTATCTATCTATCTATCTATCTATCTATCTATCTATCTATCTATCTATGTTTTTTTCATTATCTATCTATCTATCTATCTATCTATCTATCTATGTTTTTTCATTATCTATCTATCTATCTATCTATCTATCTATCTATCTATCTATCTATCTATCTATGTTTTTTCATTATCTATCTATCAATCTATCTATGTTTTTTTCATTATCTATCTATCTATCTATCTATCTATCTATCTATCTATCTATGTTTTTTCATTATCTATCTATCTATCTATCTATCTATCTATCTATCTATCTATCTATTTTTTCATTATCTATCTATCTATCTATCTATCTATCTATCTATCTATCTATCTATTTTTTTTCATTATCTATCTATCTATCTATCTATCTATCTATCTATCTATCTATCTATGTTTTTTCATTATCTATCTATCTATCTATCTATCTATCTATCTATCTATCTATCTATCTATGTTTTTTCATTTCTATCTATCAATCTATCTATGTTTTTTTATCTATCAATCTATCTATCTATCTATCTATGTTTTTTCATTATCTATCTATCTATCTATCTATCTTTTTCATTATCTATCTATCTATCTATCTATCTATGTTTTTTCATTATCTATCTATCTATCTATCTATGTTTTTTTCATTATCTATCTATGTTTTTTTCATTATCTATCTATCTATCTATCTATCTATCTATCTATCTATCTATCTATCTATCTATCTATCTCTACACGTTCACTGATGTCTGCATGCAACTCTCTTCGTATTGACTGAAATATTGCTGTGGTCTATTATATTGTGAGTTTACGGATGAATTTTAGTTTTTGTTTAATTTTTCTCAGTGCAAGTTCAACCCCGCCCTCAATCTTGCTCTTTTGTATCCAGACCGCAAAAAGATTTTTGATCCGCTTCCAAATCGCCCGAAACGTAAATGACGACTTTTAAGGTTTGAATTTGTGTGGCTATAAAAAACAAAACAAAAACAACGTGGAAGACTTTTCTTTTTTTTCTTTCTTAACATTTTATATTTTCTTTTTTGTTTTCAATCACTTTTTAATTATATTTTTATTCTCTGCCATTTTTTTTCTTTATTTTTTCTTTCTTAATTTTTGTACGTTTGTTTTTTCTCTCCTTTTACATTTCTTTTTTTTTTTCTACTTCTTTTGTTTTTCTTAATTCACTCATTTCTTTCAATTTTCTTTTAGTTTCCGTTTCATTTTTTACATTTCTTTTATTATTTCATATTATTTTTCTTTCTTTCTTCCTTTCTTCCTTTCTTTCTTTCTTTCATTCTTTCTTTCATTCTTTCTTTCATTCTTTCTTTCTTTCTTCCATTCTTTCTTTCTTCCTTTCTTTCTTTCATTCTTTCTTTCATTCTTTCTTTTTAATTCACTTTCTTTTCATTCCACTTATTTCTTTCTTTCTATCCATTCAATTCTTTCTTCCTTACTTTATTTTTTCTTTCTTTATTTTCCATTTCTTTCTTTCTTTCTTTCTTTCTTTTTTCTTTCTTTCTTTCTTTCTTTCTATTACTTTTCTTTCTTTATTTCTTTCTTTCTTTCTTTCTTTCTTTCTTTCTTTCTTTCTTTCTTTCGATCCATGCCATTCATTTTCCTTCCTTTAATTCAGTTTCATTATATACCTTTTATTTTTTCTTCCTCCCTTTCTTTCTTTCTTTCTTTCTTTCATTGTTTCTTTCTTTCTTTCTTTCTTTTCATTCCTTTTCTTTCTTTCGTTCTTTCTTTCTGTATATTAGTTTTCTTTTTTCTTTCAATTCACTCTCTTTTTATTCCTCTTATGTCCTTCTTTCTATCCATTCACTTCTTTCTTCCTTAGTTTTTTCTTTGTTTGCATTCCTTTTCTTTCTTTCTTTCTTTCTTTCTTTCTTTCTTTCTTTCTTTCTTTCTTTCCATTACTTTTCATTCTTTCTTTCTTTCTTTCTCTCTTTCTTTCTTTCTTTCTTTCTTTCTCTCTTTCTTTCTTTCTTTCTTTCTTTCTTTCGATCCATGCCATTCATTTTCCTTCCTTTAATTCTTTTAATTCAGTTTCATTATATACCTTTTATTTTTCTTCCTTTTTTTTCTTTTCTTTCTTTCTTTCTTTTCATTCCTTTTCTTTCTTTCGTTCTTTCTTTTCTGTATATTACTTTTCTTTTTTTCTTTCAATTCTCTTTTTATTCCTCTTATGTCTTTTTTCTTTCTATCCATTCTTTTCTTTCTTCCTTAGTTTTTCTTTGTTTGCATTCCTTTTCTTTCTTTCTTTCTTTTTTCTTTCTTTCTTTTACTTTTTCATTCTTTCTTTCTTTCTTTCTTTCTTTCTCTCTCTTCTTTCTTTCTTTCTTTCTTTCTTTCTTTTTTCTTTCTTTCTTTCTTTCGATCCATGCCATTCATTTCCTTCCTTTAATTTTTTTAATTCAGTTTCATTATATACCTTTTATTTTTTCTTCCTTCCTTTCTTCTTTCTTTCTTTCTTTCATTCTTTCTTTCTTTCTTTCTTTCTTTTCATTCCTTTTCTTTCTTTCGTTCTTTCTTTCTGTATATTAGTTTTCTTTTTTCTTTCAATTCACTCTCTTTTTATTCTACTTATGTCTTTCTTTCTATCCATTCACTTCTTTCTTCCTTACTTTTTTTCTTTGTTTACATTCCTTTTCTTTCTTTCTTTCTTTCTTTCTTTCCATTACTTTTCTTTCTCTCTTTCTTTCTTTCTTTCTTTCTTTCTTTCTTTCTTTCTTTCTTTCTTTCTTTCGATCCATGCCATTCATTTTCCTTCCTTTAATTCTTTTAATTCAGTTTCATTATATACCTTTTATGTTTTCTTCCTTCCTTTCTTCTTTCTTTCTTTCTTTCTTTCTTTCTTTCTTTTCATTCCTTTTCTTTCTTTCGTTCTTTCTTTCTGTATATTACTTTTCTTTTTTCTTTCAATTCACTCTCTTTTTATTCTTCTTATGTCTTTCTTTCTATCCATTCACTTCTTTCTTCCTTACTTTTTTTCTTTGTTTACATTCCTTTTCTTTCTTTCTTTCTTTCCATTGACTTCTTTTTTCTTCTTTCTTTACAATCGTTTTCTTTCTTTCTTTTTTCTTTCATTTTTTTCTTTTAATTCCCTTTCTTTTCATTCTTTTCATTTTTTCTTTCTTTCTTTCTATTCATTCCCTTCTTTCTTTTTTCTTTACATTCCTTTTCAATCTTTCTTTCTTTCTTTCTTTCTTTCTTTCTACTTGATATTTTTCTTCTCCTACGTTAATCTCCACTCTTTTTATTTTTTGCCCATTGCTCTATATTTTGTCTTCTTTTCGGTTTTTTTTTCTTTCTTTCTCTCCTTTAAAAGAAGCTCTGGTCGCAGATCAATTCAATGAGTTTGATCTCTTGTGGCGCTCCACTTTAAAAGCCTTGTGTCAGACTTTGCCCTCTAACTGACAATCAGTCACATTCCTTTTCACTCACCCTTTCTTTCTTCCCTTTTTTTTTCTATTAATATTTTTCTCATTCCATTTCTTTCATTCTTGGCTTTATCTTTTTTTCTCACTCGCCAATATTTTTTTCTTTTCTTTTCTTTTTTTTTTTTTCATTCGCGTCTCACTCATTAAATTCTTAGCCGTTCTGTTTTTCACTCTGATATCAAACCAAACGCATTCCTCGGCCCCATTTTTAACCAATGGGGCACGTGACAGAATATCAACAGAATAAATAGCCCCCCCATCTTCGTTTCCGACTTATTTATTTGGACTCCTTTCGCTCGTTTCGCTTGCACTTATGTACCCCCCTCCTCCCCCGCCGACCAGACCCCATAATTAACAACCCCCCTACATATTTGTTCCACATTTTCCCTTGATGGTCTATCCTCTACCAATCTGAAACAGCCGCATTGTGCGGATCTGTCACACACATCCGGTCTTGTAAAGGTAAGCATGTGTACAAAATAGCATAGAGAAACTCATAGAGACAGATGGAAAAATAAATATGGAGATTTTTATTTATTTATTTATTTATTTATTTTTTTATGGAGAGTGCGGGTAGGGATACGGTTATTGGCGCGTAAAGTGGAATCATCATGTTGTGTTTAAATTCTGATCGAGTCTGTCGTTCATTTCTTGCTAATGGTAACAGTAATATTAACCGGCTCCTTATAAGGAAACAGTTGACACTCAATGACCGAGACGCCTGTGCTACGCGAGTTACCCTTTACTTCACCCGCTGGCCATGGAGTTTGGAGTCTGTCGGCCTCATATTTATTTTACTAATGCAACCCCAATACAATATAGCCAGACGTGCTTTTATTATTACTGTTTATTATAAACAGAGCATTTACTTAAATATTTGTATCTATAAAAAAGAATGTATAAATATAAAAATGTCTTAAAATAATTGTCGAATTTTGTCCATTTCATAATGTGTGACGTCATTTGTTTACATTTGGATACGCATCGAGCAGATATGAAAGTACGTGAGAAAATCATGGAAAATTGTAGTTTAAAAGCAGTAAAATTGACCTTGCTAACCGAAATCGTGGCGAAATTGGTAAAACCACGTCAGGCTATATGACGGTTCCGTATAGGATAGAGGTTCGATTCCTGTCGGAGGACGCATGTTTTCTATGACAATTTCTCAGACATTCAGGCTGGTAAATGCTGTTTAATACTGTTTATTATCAACAGAGCATTTACTTAAATATTTGTATCTATAAAAAAGAATGTATAAACATAAAAAATATCTTTATATATATATATATATATATATATATATATATATATATATATATATAGAGTAGAGAGAGAGAGAGAGAGGGGGCATTCGACTGGATACGAAAGGTTTTTACAGAGCTGTTGTACTTGCCATCCTTTTGTACGACTTAGAGTCGCGGACTCCATACAGGTACCATATGCGCCATGTGGATGTTTTCCATAAAAGCTGTCTGCGTGCAATCTGTGGAGTTAAGCTTCAAGGTAGGACATCTAACGTAGACCTGTTTAACAGGTGTAATATTGGAGGAATCGAGACTTTTATCATACAGTCTCAGTTACGGTGGACTGGTCATGTCTTGAGAATGTCTGATGACAGGATACCCAAGATCCTATTGTACAGCAAGTTAGATCAGGGCTACAGGAATGTAGGACGCCCATGGCTAAGATACAAAGACAAGCTGAAAAGCAACTTGTCAGCAGTCAATATACCACATAACACCCTTGAGCGCTTAGCCTTGGAGCGGGTAGAATGGAGATCAACGTGTTTCAGTGGACTCAGCAGTTTTCGGTCTGCTTGTCTGAATCATCTTCAAGAAGCGAGAGCAAGATATAAAAGGTCAGCCAATCTAACAGTGATCTCATCCGACAGTGCTCACTCTTGCTCTATATGTGGCCTTCTTTGAAAATCATTAGCGGGTCGTAAGTCCCACTTAAGATTACCGCACAAAATTTCATCAACTAAGCTGCTAGATCCTCATACGTCGAAACCGACGGGAGTGTCCATTATTATCATTATTATCATTATATATATATATATATATATATATATATATATATATATATATATAATAGTAATGCCACCGCTTGATAGGTAGAAAATTATATAATTCAACGCAGGACTGCTGCAAGCGGCCCGTGCACCGCCACACCCGAATCTACTCAACTACATGTCAATATTTAGAAGGTAGTATTCATATAAAATACAAATTTTATTGTAGCCTACAATAATGAATCATATGCAATATAAGAGAACAACACAACTAGAACAATAAAGAATAAATACAATGTTTCATGTCATAAGAGGTCATTCCTTCTTAAATACATCAACAATGTTTTGCGCCAATTTTTAACATCAACTTGAATTCTTTCTTGTTAAAAAGTTGAATAATTTTAACTAGATAAATAAAAAAAGCACTGAATTCTATATAGTGTTTTTTTTGCGAGACTTAGCATGAGCAAAAAAAAAAGAAAAAGAATATCACGGATTTGGACGATCAAAAACAAACCTCAGAATGACGTCAAAATATTTTCATTCTTTAATAGTCAGTTGTGTTTAATTTAATTTCTAACGTGTATAAATGTAGGTAGAAAAAAAAAGTAAATACTTATAAGATAGCGAGGATTACAAAGCACTGCCCGTGGTCCTCAGTCAGGCTTGGGCCGCCCGGTCGGAGTGCTCGGAGATAGTACGCGCCGGCCCTGATTCAACGAATATCAAGGTGAACTTACTTTCATAAGAATACGTTTTTAATGTATATTTTTTTGGTATTATCATTTTAGGTAGATATTTGTTCAAAGTTAATAATATAATTCATATAAAACATTAAAATATATATTTGGATAATTATTTCGGGTTGATGGCAGTGTTAATGGTTATTTTAGCCGTTTCCCTATATGGAAAAACCAGACATTCATTGAACGAACAGCCGGTGCAAATCGAACTTCACTCCGCGGCATTCGGGCTGTGATCAAAGTGTAGTATCTGTCTTCTAGCGGATAAACTATATTTCGTCTCACAGTTGTGTTTCTGTTGATTATGTGAACATTGTTCGAAAATAATTGTTCGAAAGCAATTATTCGTAAAGCATTTATTCGAACTGTAAATTGTTTAAATGAAAATTAATCTAAAGGAAAATTATACTTAATGATAATTATTCGAAATGAAGAATTCTTTATTGCAATGATAACGTAAAAAATAAAAGACGAAATACACAAATGACAATTATTCGAAATACAAATATCGTTAATAAAACAATTAAGTAAGACAAAAATCCTAATAAGCTTAAGTTATATGATACTGCACGTACTGAAAAGTACTCGTTAAAAGATGGCGCTAACTATTTAAGTTTTCCATTTACGTCGCGGTATTTCTTGGTGCTCTTTATATTTTGGCAACCTGCTCTTAGTTTTTCAATATAAATTTCTTACAAGTCCTGTTATCTTTTAAGAGTGTCTAAGAATTTCCATATTGAGGGATGATGGGATCACACTTGCTGTAAAAAAAGATCTGTGTCAACCTTCAACGGCGTTATTAGTATTACGTAAACCTTTTTCAAAGCGAGACCACATACGTATTTCAAACATAGATATTTCGAATAATTACCATTTAGTATAATTGTCCTTTCGAATAATTTTCATTCCAAAAATTTGCAATTCGAATAAATGTTTTTCGAATAATTATTTTCGAACATTCTAGATACGTATCTATTGATATCGTAATTATATTACGATTAAACAATAAATAAATAAAATTATTTATTGCAATAAAAATGTAAAAATTTAAAAGCGGAAATGTATAGATGCCCCCTCGTATTCGAGGATACCCGTCTACTAGGGCGGCTAGCTAATCCCTATTGCAGACGCTCACTCAGGCACATTTGTGTTTATTCAACAAACATTATTCAACTGAATTGTTTATTCAACAAATATTATTCAACTCAAATTAAAAGAGGAAATGTATAGCTGGCCCCTCTTATTCGAGGATACCCGTCTACTAGGGCGGTTAGCCAATCCCTATTGCAGACGCTCACTCAGGCGCATTTGTGTTTGTTCAACACCCACAGAGCCCACCTGTGGTATATACTGCAACTCTGCTGACATTAACTATAGTTTCTGGGAAAGAACGTGTTAATTAGCGTGATCTACAATTTGAACAAGGCCAGCACACTCAAGCCCTCGACCACGATGACTTGTGACTTCGTGCTAGCACAGCTATCGACAGTTCCGTCTACCCAATTTTGTGGTATGGTTTTTCGGGCACAGGTGCCGCACGTTGGGATCGACCCCTTCATTCCGATAACAACAGAAAGTCTCCTTCCTGACAAATCGACCATGGTGAGATTCGAACCCGGGTTTCATAGTCAAAATGCAAAAGTTCTAACCACTCAGCCACGTGACCATATAAAATGACCAAATACACAAATGACAATTATTTGAAATACAAATATCGTTAATCAAACAATTAAGACAAAAATCCTTATAAGCCTAAGTTATATGATACTGCACGTAAATAGTCAACTACTGAAAAGTACCCGTTAAAAGATGCCACTAATTATTTAAGTTTTCCGTTTACGTCGCATTATTTCTTGGTGCTCTTTATATTTTAGCAACCTGCTCTTAGTTTTTCCTACAAGTCCTGTTCTTTTTTTAAGAGCGTCTAAGAATTTCCATATTGCGGTATAATGGGATGACACTTGCTGTAAAAAAGCCTTATGCCGTCCATCAAGGAAGTTATTAGTTCTAGGTAAATCAGCATTGACTCTCTCAAAGCAAGGCCACTTACGTATTTCAAACATAGGTATTTCAAATAATTATCATTTAGTATAATTGTCCTTTCGATTAATTTTCATTCAAACAATTTATAATTCGAATAAATGTTCTTCGAATAATTGTTC